TCTTTCATCAGAGCACCACTGATCTCATAGTTTGGGTTGCCATACATACCTAAAACCACGTCTGTTCGTCTCGCGATCGTGGCCATTGTCACTCACCCGCGAGGATTCCTTTAGTCATGTCGAACTCGGTGCCTTCATAATGGTCACGGTGGAGATCGAAAATTTCATTCATTGTAACAGGTCTATCGACCGCCACGGAAAAAGGGTAATCATAAGGGTCCTCGTTATTGGGGATCTGAAGACCAGCGTTGAGGAAATGCAAGATGAGCAAGATTCTGCCCCAGCATCAGACCTACTCCCTGTGAAGGGGCAACCCTATCGAAAACCCTCCATTGTCTTAGCGAGGCGTAACGAGGAAGGGCAAGCTTACCCGATACGACCTTGGACCAGTCAAATGTGCCTTCCCCTGAAAATCATCATCTACACCCTACCAGTTGTGGCTCACTAGACACCTACCATCCCACAATCCCATCGCCTTGGTTTTCTCAAAGAGACCTTCAGAGTAAATGAACTCATCAGGAGCATTAGTTTTCACTGCCTTAATAATGGCGTTATTCGCTACCACCGCAACATGGTCATCGGGCACCTATGTTGTATATATTCCAACCCTCTCCTACTGACGACCACTCACCCTCTGGGCGACCCAGAAAGCACCCTTATTGCCGTCCCCTTCAATCTCGAAGACCCATGCCTCAGTGTCATCAATGATCGTAATAGCCTCAGCAGAGCCATACCTACATCCAACAACGCCTTTCTCCTCTCACCCTTCCCACACAGGCTCCCTTACTCCTCTCCAGCGAAGCCATACTCCTGTGCCAAGGCCCCTATCTTATGAATAGCACAGCGAGCAGTCTCACAGCGCTCCATGGCAATGGCCATCAGTGGGGCGATAGTGAAAAGGGCGGTACCTGATGTTAAAGGAGGAGGAGGAGTGGGATAGGATCACTGCCTCGAGAGCACACCTAGTGTTGGAATATATGTTTGCTTTCCTCAGCTGAGCTCAGTAGCTCCCTAACTACATTGTGAACATTTACACACCATTTAGAGTAGCATTGTCCAAAAACCCACCATAATTTCTCCAAAAAATTCTTCACAATTTCCCTTTTGTCACCAACACACGTAGTTGACCATGTGCGTCTATTCCCACACTGAGTACCCCTACCTTCCTTTCCCGTGATCTCGTCCTTATGAGTGACCTCCTGGACAGCCAAAGGCTTATTAGCAGCCGTAGTACTCTCACCAATCGCAAGACCCTACCCTCACCATAACACTTCACCAAGGCAGCTCATCTACTTACTTTCGAATTGATGAGAGGATATGACGACTCCCACAGTGCATAGGTCTCCCCCTCGCTCGGGACGTAGCCCAGAGGTGTGGATTCGTTTTGACCTAAACCATCCCTATGGCATCCCCTTCATACCCAACAACCCTACCCGGCAAAGGTTCGTAAATATCGGCCCGGCCCTTAGTAACGACCCTCGGGTAGAGAGAGTGGATATTATCGAAAACTGGCCTAGGGCCTGTGCCGTTGCCCCGAGGGACATAGGCTATACGATTGTCACAGTTCATGCAATCGTTGGCATGGGTCGCTACGGGGTACCCAAAGGTAGTGGCCTTTCGACCAAAAATCATACTTGTGCATTTGTCACTATTGCTGTCGAGATACTCGGCACGTCTAAAGAGGAAAAAGTGAGACTAATAAGAAGAACTCCCCGTGGGTGCCTACTTGAGGGCTTCCAGGTCAGCGTCTGAAGACGCAGTGCCTACAGTTGCCAAGGCCACAGTTGTGGAGATCAAAGAGCGGTAAAATGTCATGACGGTAGGAGAAAAAAAGATCTGTGACACGGATGTCGACTATCGCTCTGCACGCGTGCACAGCACGCATGCCCAAGATAGGGAACAGACTTTCTTCAGCGACAAGAAACACTATAACGGGAAACAGGCGGAGATAATAAGAAGGCCTACTTATACTTCTATAGCAATATAGTCACAAGATACCCAGATGTAAATGCGGAAGAGACCACATTAAAAATCTCGATCGCCCTGGAATGCCTGTGATCACTGTGCGGGTGGCGCTACTGGGAAGAAGTCCTCCTCTACAACTGCTTTGACCCAAGCCTCTACGTGAGTACTGAAGATTACGTTACCGAAATATGGTTGGTTGTGATTATGCGAGAACAACAGCAGTTGTACAAAGTGAAGTGAGCAAGGCGGTCTCCCGCGTCACCGAATTCCGCTCAGTCCGCGCGAATTCTCCACATAGTTCCAAAGCCTCCAGCTTCCACCTATCATACCACACCTCCGTCTTCTCCTGCACCTCCTGTATGACCTCACCCACCTTATCAATGTGACCATACACCCTCAGCCGCCTTTTGTGAAGTTAGAGGTACAACCCGAAATTGATATTCTAATCCGCGAAATTCATTTTCGCCTACCACCGCCAGACTAACATGCACACCCGCGAATATGATAAACCCCTCCTGAAAGGAAAAGTACACTTTGATCTTTCTTCTTCTAAAACTCCGCTCGGGGTGAATTCAACTACGGTAAGTGCTCTACTGTTGTCGTCATCATTGCTCCTAAATCCCAGGCCGATCGCCCTCCACGATTTATCGCGTCTCTACTGATAACCGGGCGTGACTTCTTCTCTGCCCCCAAAAAGGATCCTCCCCTTTCCCTTTCCTCCTGAGCTGTCGTGTATATCGCGGGACACCCACTAGGGTTGCTGTGTATGCTCGAGATAACGATACTCATAGAGGATGAAGACCACAGGTGATGCTTATGAAAGTGAATGCTAGACTCAACAACGATGTATCTAGTAGGGAAGGATATCTCGCACTCTCAGAGGCGACCCCGTCCTAACTTGTCGTGCCTCACAAGAAGAAGCGACGGCGACGCACCGCTTCACGAGGGGTTCTATCACCTCTGGCTCGGAGGATTCCTTCGTGGAATCGATACTGCTGCTACTAGCCATGATCACTCGTACATGAGGCGATGAGCTCATGGCCAAGGCTTCCTAATCGATACCGCAGCCACACAGCACTCAACAAATCCAAATGGAAACCATCAAGAAA